CTAGCAATAGAGAAGCGTAAAAGTGTTAATCTGCAGCAGATCAGAATCTCTAATTAAGGCAATTAAAGTTAAAATTAATGAATATAATCTCTCTGGAATAATTGACACAGGAGCCGATATTTCGCTTATGTCTGATCGCCATCGTGTCAAGTTAGAAGAACACATTAGAAAATGCAATTTAACAATAACTGGTGTCTTGCCTGGGACTTTGTAAGCTAATTTTGAATTCACTGCAGTTGTTGAAGTATGCGATGTCCGTACGCAACTTAATTTTCTATTCGTACCAGACTATTTTTTGGACTTTGATGTAATGTAGTCGCAATTTGTACAACGACAAAGAGGTGACATCTGTGACTGGGCATTCCGGAACAGTAGTATTTCGCAATAAGCATGTGGCTGTACGTACTTTATGTACCAACAGCGAACTTTCTATAGCAGTACCGAGTATGCATCGAAACGCTCTTTTGGCTGTTTTATCAAAATTTCACAATATTTTTGCGAATGGAAATGCCGTGCCTGCAGTAAATAACGCAACTCTACAAATATGACTAAAAGACGATTTTGTGGTATTCCGAAATCCTTATCGGTTAGCACCCAGAGAAAAGGAAGCATTAAGAAAGATTATAAATGACCTTTTGAAAAATAAAATTATCCGTGAAAGTGAATTTGCATTTGCAAGTCTTATTTTGCTTATCAGAAAGAAAGAAGGAACATACCGAATGTGCGTCGATTTTCGAGAGCCTAATACACACACTATACAGTGTGTCCGTAAAGTCCCGGAACATGTGATTATTTTGAAAACGGTAATTTTTTTAAAAAAACGCTGAAACACGCCAACTTTGATATTTTTCTAGCAATATTTTAGCATACGTAGTTGTTCCAAATTCTGCCGCGTGGCGGCGCCACAATCAAAGTCAGTTTTTTTTAAATTGCAACCCTTTATTTTTGTTGCATTTTTGGATAGCTACCGTTGTCCTGATTACATTGATGTGCCACATCTGGGGGGTTACATAAGAAAATTTTTGAGAAAATCAGGTTTTTGCTGCCGAATGAGATTTTGGTATTTTATCAAACTTACACAATCTATGCGTTGCTTAATGTTTTTTGGAAAGCCAATCAGAGCAGTTGCTCAAAGTGTCCACCGTAAACTATTTGGAAATGGAACAGCCTGTCTACAAACGAGCGTTGTACGTTTGCCAGTACCGCTGGAGTGATCATCTGGATCTCGGCTTGAATGCGGTGTCTTAGGTCGTCCAAATTTTAAGGCCTGTTTACATAGACGCGGTTTTTAAGAGGTCCCCATAAAAAGAAGTCTAAAGGGTTCAAATCGGGCGATCGCGCTGGCCACTCAATTTGACCCCTTTGACCTATCCAGCGATTGGGAAAGACCTGATTTAAATAATCCCTTACTAGCAATGCATAGTGCCCCGTAACAGCGAATAAGTTCGTCAAAACCAAAATCTTAATCAGCGGCAAAAACCTACTTTTCTCAAAAATTTTCTTATGTAACCCTCCACATGTAGCATATCAATGTACTCAGGACGACGGTAGCTATCCAAAAATGCAACAAAAATTAAGGGTTGTAATTTAAAAAAACCTTACTTCGATTGGGGCGCCGCCACGCGGCAGATTTTGGAACAGCTACATATGCTAAAATATTGCTAGAAAAATACCAAAGTTGACGTGTTTCAGCGTTTTTTTAAAAAAAATACCGTTTTCAAAATAATCACATGTTCCGGGACTTTACGGACACACTGTATAAGACCGCTACCCGCTTTCTCTTATTGATGACCAATTGGATCGACTTGAAAAAGGAAAGTTTTTTACATCCCTGGATATGTCATCGGGTTTCCATCAAATACCGATAAATTAGGAATCTATCCAAAAACTGCGTTCTTAACTCCAGAGGGACATAACGAATATTTAAGGATGTCCTTTGGACTGGCAAACGCTCCTGCGGTTTCCCAACGATGTGTTCACAAGGCATTGGGTCCTTTAAAGGATTATGTTGCATTAGTATATCTGGATGATATCCTTCTCCCGTCGGTGACCGTTAAAGGAGTAAAATTTTTACAAAAAGTTTTGATGGCCTTACAAAACGCAGGTCTTTTTTTGAATATTAAAAAGTGACACTTTTTACAAGACAAGTTAGTATCTTAGCAGAGAAATTTCGGCAGAAGGAATACGCCCTATCGATCGCAAAGTGGAGGGTTCTTTGAAATACTCCATCCCCATCCACTGTAAAGCAAGTGCGACAGTTCATGGGCCTTGCAGGTTATTTCTGCAAGTTGATACCAAATTTCGCTGACAAGACCCAGGTAACCAAAGCAGCTAAGTAACAATTAAAGCACTGGCCTACTGATTGGTCCTTATAAATGGACATAAGTGAATCAGCTAGAAGCTGATGACAATGATAAGAGGTATGTTTTGGGGTGAAAACCTGTAGATATTTTTGGGTTGAAAGCTAGACTCCTTGCAATTATAATATTGTTAAAAGTTGGACGCTTTGCATAAATTTGAATTTTGAATATTGAGATAAATTTTTTGAAAGCTTGACGCTTTGCAATGATAATATTGTTGAAAGCTGGGCGCTTTGAATATTGAGATACATTTTTTGAAAGCTTGACGCTTTGCAATGATAACACTGCTGAAAGCTGGACGCTTTGAACATTGAGATACATTTTTTGAAAGCTTGACGCTTTGCAATGATAACATTGCTTAAAGCTGGACGCTTTGGATATTGAGATAAATTTTTTGAAAGCTTGCTGCTTTGCAATGATGACATTATTGAAAGCTGGACGCTTTGAATATTTCGATGCATTTTTTGAAAGCTTGACGTTTTGCAATGATAACATTGTTTAAAGCTGGACGCTTTGCATATCTGTTGTTGGCTAAAAGCTTAATTTTAAGAATTGTTTATCTTTAGTATGACTTTAGAAAACTATCCTCTGGAGAAGAATCACATTAAAGATTCGTCCTAATGGAGTTGGTTTATGCTTCGAGAGCGAAGCTTTTGTCAGGATTGGCCGTGTTGGCGGTGGAATTAAAATAAATATTAGAAATATTAGTTTTGTTGTTATCTTGTGTTTATTTGTCACGTACAATATTGTTATGTACATAAAAATTATTAAAAGTGAATTGGTGGTGTTATTGCCTCTCTTATATTTTTGTATTTTCTTATACTATGTATAAGTATAGAATTTTATTAATTAACACATAGATAAAATGTCCCTTACTACATTCGGCCTTCCTGCGGGACATCCGAGGTTGTCTTCGGTTTCGCCTTGGCTGTCAAAATCATCAGGGCGGACACTTGCCCATGGTTTCATGTGATCGGCCACTATAGAGGTTTCATTTGGCCCCTTGTGTTAGCCTACTTTTCGCACCATGTAATGGTCGTGTCGCATTATCTTTTCAACTTTGAAAGGCTCAAGGTATTTTGGTTTCAATTTTAAACCTGGGCCAAACGGCGTTCTTTTAATGGCGACTAATCGCCTTTCTTGTATTTTGTCGCTGGTTTTCGCTTGGCGTCGTAACCCCTTTTGTTTTCTGCTTGCGTTTGAATAATTTTATATTTGGCCATTCTTCTTAACTCGTCTTGAATTTCTTCGAATCTGGTGGCCATTCTTCTTCCATCAATTCCACCATTCTTCGTCCGATTGATCCTTTCTACCTGCCCATTTTCCCTGGAAACACCTGTAGTTATTAACAAGCGGTCTATGTTTTCTTCTTTACAGTAACCCCCGAAAGCTTGCGACCTAAATTCTGAATCTCCTTGGTAATAACCTGGGCGGCATCGGTCAACTTCGTTGGGTACAACCATACGAAAATGGTAAACCCATCAATTATTGTTGTTGTCATCGGGCATAAGTGATTCACGTGGTAAATGTGTAGACACATCTCCATTGACAATAGGATTCATCAAACCTTCCGGTTTTCCATGTTTGCGTTCAGCTAAAATGCAGTTTATGCAATTAGCTACAACTTTCTCTTTTGCCGTAATCCTTTAAACCAGTAGTCTCTTTGAACAATGGCTTCCGTTCTACTTACACCCAAGTGCCCGCGATTATGTACCAGGTGTATTACTTGCGTTTTCATTGTTCTTGACACCACCACTAGCACATCGTCATTAACATATTTATACAAAAGTCCATTTTTAATCACATAACAGTCAGTTTTCTGCTAAGTTACACTACATATTAATTTACAAATGTCTTTGTCTTCGTCTTGAACCCGACGTAGTTTCACGATCAGTCTGTCGTCATCCTCATTAATTAATAAAACGCACGGTATCGGGTGTCGACTTAACGAATCCACATGCTTCATATTGCTTACCGATCTATGACACACTTCGTAAGTAAATTCTTCCAGCAGTAAAGCCCAACTCGCGGCGCTCATACACAAGTCTTTTTTTCATCGTCATTGAGAACGCCTGACAATCCGTATTTTATATAACGGTATTTTTAATAGATATAATCGGAACTTCTTTATTGCTTTATATAATAATAATAATAATTTTATATATAATTTAAATAATTTAATATTTATTTTAAATATAAGTGTTATTTACTGTAAAAGTTGTTTATTATCTATAAATTGTTAGTGTAAAGTATTAAACCGTTACTCAATGGTTACACTATGTCAGTGTTTAGTGTTATAATGTTAAGTTTTGTGAATTAATTATTAGGTTTTGGATTGAGTTAAATAAATTATAATTAAATATTAGATGTAAATGTATGGTGGTTTAAAATGTGAATCATGCTAACAGGAATAAAAAGACTAAAGCTGTGTGGTTACGTATTATTGTAAATTTAGTTGCTAGAGTCGGTGGATTAGCGCAGTAGTCGATTAAACGGGTGATTTATGCCTACCTATAACTCGTAATAATTTAGAAGGGGGATACAACTACGCAAATATAAGTGTCCAAGAGGACAATGATAGTGAAGTAGGGGAAAAATCAAGTGTACGACGACCTCATAAAAAGACATATTGCGAAGCGTATGACGGCAGCTCTTAAACGTGAGTTCGAGTCAGGACAAACAAGTTTTGTCGAGTTCATTACACGACCTGAACCTCGAGGATGGATAAACCGAACCAAATAAGGGAAAATTTAAGGTAAATGGAGAAATTATTCCAATTTCTGATCCCGACGACCGCCACCAAACTATTGCGTCATGGCTCAAAAAAATCGAACAACTGTCGCAAATACACGGCTCGAGCGACTACGAAAAATTAAAAGACGCAGTTCGTATTTGGTTCAACAAACAAGACGACTACGACATAACTTGGGATGAGTGGAAAATTGCATTATCCAGAGCGTTTCCGAGATGTGTCGATTACGCAACAATATAAGAAGAGTTGGTCGGTAGGCAAAAACGCAATAACGAAACCATGACACACTATTACCACGCAAAATTAAACCTTGCGCAACAATGTCGTTTGGATAACGAAGCCACCATATCCTATAATATAAAGGGTTTGCTATTGGAACTGCAAGCAAATGCAAAAGCATTTAAATGTGCTACGACCGAAGAACTTTACGCCGGGTTTATTGCACCAATGTAACTAACCATTGTAAATCGCCTCAAGAAGCCAGAATCAAACCTCAAGCCACCCCGTCCAGACCAGAAAAGAGACCGCGGATTGAGTGCGGAAAATTGGGCCATCTTGCAAGGGAGTGCTGGAGACGATAAGTTCCCACAACATCGAGGAATACCGAACATCGGTGTTCCATGTGCCGATCGACATACCATCCTAGTGCTGAATGCCCCAAGCGTCGATCCTCGGACAGCCCAACACCAGGACCATCGAGGATGGCAGAAGTGCAGTACTTGCAAGAAAATGGGACACATCACTGACGATTGCTGGTACAAAGAAAAAACCGTCCAGGAGGTTAAATCTCTTAGGCAAGTACGAAACGATTTGTATAAAGTAGACCTAGTGAAAGGTAAAATAACTTATAAAGGGTACTTTGAAACAGGAAATAGGCAGTTAAGCATCTTAAACAACAACAAAAATGCCCTTAGTACCCTCTAATACAATAATTAAATCTTTTGGTGGTTCATTACTATCCCTGAAGGAACCATATCAGTTAATATTTTAATAGAAAACATGAAAATTCCTACGGAACTGGTAATAGTAAAAACAAAGGACATTCAAGATATTGATATTATTTTGGGTCAGCCAACAATTAATCATCCTAACAGAATGCTTATTGTGACACCTCACTCAGTGAAATATAATTCCGTAAAACAACCTGAAGTTCAACAAATAAATTTGGTTGATGATGTTCCACTAAAACTCGTCGATCTTGATCCAGTAAATATCAATAAACTAAAAGAACTGTTAAAATCCAATGACTTATGTTTCGCTAAAGATTCACTTGACCTGGGGACAATAACAGACACTGAGTTTGCAATTACATTAACCTATCACGTACCTATATACTATAAACCCTATAGATAGAAATACCTGTAAAAAAAGATTCGATTCCAAAAACAGCATTCATAACAACAGACGGACAATTTGAGTTTCTTAGTATTCCATTTGGACTTTGCAATGCACCAGCTGTATTTCAGAGATATGTAAAAAGTTTATTAGGAGATTTGCGACATACCGAAGTTGTAATTTATCTCGTTGATATTCTTATACCCTCCATATCAATCGATCAAGGATTTGAAAAGCTTGCAACAATTTTAGAACTACTTATGAAAAACAACCTAAAACTAAACTTGGATAAATGTTTCTTTTTCAAAACAAAAATAGATTTTATAGGATATGAGATTGGTGAAAATGATATACGGCTCGGTAAAAAAAAAGTTAAAGCTGTTCAAGAATTTAAAACCCCACAAAACATTCATGAAGTGAGACAATTTTTGGGCCTTAGTTCACATTTCAGAAAATTTATCAAGAATCACGCGGAAATAGTATCACCTTTAACAAAAATGCTAAGAAAAGACACAGTTTGGACGTGGGGCGAGACACTATACTATTCATATGAACTCGAAACTCTTGCTGTGATTGAGTCTGATAAACGGTTTCGAAATTATCTATATGGAACGCATTTCAAAATAGTGACAGATTGTAATGCTGTTCGTATTACTTTTGTGGAAAAAGATCTAGTCCTGAGAATTGCACGTTGGTGTTTAACTAACCAATAATACGAAATTGAACACAAACCAGGGTGTAAAATGGCCCACGTTGATGCATTAAGTAAAAATGCGATAACTGAAAACGTTTTAAGAATAGATGCCGACGATTTGGTGTTAATGGTACAAAGTCAAGATACACAAATAAGAATATTTAGAGAAAAACTAATATCTGGAAATGCCGACCGAGAAATTAAAAAAGGATAGATTATACTGTAAAATACATAATGGTGAGTTTAGACTTATAATCCCAAAAATGTGCAGATTAATTATAATACGAAACTACCATGATGAAATTGGCCATCTTGGACTAAAACGTTGCGAAGAACTAATTAAGAGCAAATTTTGGTTTGCCAAAATGACAAAGTTTATAAAAAATTCGTAAACGCATGGGGTTTTCATCCATCCTATTCCAAAACTGAATGAAAGTCGAAAGAAGCACGGCTTCCAACGTTGTCAGAAGTATAGATTACACGCCTTTTTGGACGTTCATCATAACATAATAATAATAATAATAATATTTATTGGTCTAAAGATCATGCAATGATATGAGACAAGTCAATTCAAAAACTATTATGTTATTCAAGTATATATAAATTAAATACCTACAACCACAAAAAACTATGGTAAATCAAAACAAATTACAAAAAAACTATGGTAAATCAAAACAAATTACAATAGAACTTCATTTAAAAATTCTTCGACTGAATAAAAAGCTTTTTCAAGAAGAATCAATTTTAAGTTATGTTTGAAAGAATTTAAAGTTTGAATTTTAAGAGAAGTATTTAGCTTATTGTATAATAATGCACCTATGTAAAATGGATTCGACTTAAACAGCTCAAGCCGGTGTATACTTAATTGTAAATTAGAACCATATCTTGTGTTATATGTATGATGTTCATTAAGACTAGAAAATTTTGAAAGGTTCTTTTTAACATAAATAAGTGACTCTAGAATAAACAAACATGGGAGGGTTAGTATTTTTTTAGAAATAAAGAAAGGCTTACATGACTCTTGAAAACCTAATCCATATATAAATCTAACGGCTCTTTTTTGCAGAATAAAAACACGTTGGACAGAGGTTGAATAGCCCCAGCATATTATTCCATACCTAAGTCTTGACTCAATGTTTGAGTGATAAAAAGCTCTTATGGCTGATGTATTTGCAATATGACAAAGTCGCTTTAAGGCAAATAAATTAGGTGCTAAGGAATTACAAAAATGTTGAATGTGACAGCCCCAATTTAAACTAATATCAATATACAGTTCCAATAAATTGAACTCCGTTACCTGATGGATTGTATTTTTTACTTTTATATATGGACTTTCTTTATAATTTGAGGATATTGAATAAAATTGCTTGGTATTTGTTTTTTCTAAAGTGTTTCATTTACTTTTGATAATAATTCAAACTGATGCTTACTTGATGAGACCGTTGTTATATCATCAGAAAATGCACAAAAAAATTAACCGATATGGTCATCTATGTCATTAACGTAGATAAAAAACAACAACGGCCCCAAAACACTACCCTGAGGAACTCCGATGTTATTTTTTAATTCCAGAGAACGGGTGTTACAGTATTCAACATAATGTCTCCTATCGTGTAAAAAGCTTTTTATTAGATTATTACATTTACCGCTCAGACCATATGACTCAAGTTTACTTAATTAAATCCCATGATCTACACAGTCAAATGCTTTTGTCTAGATGTTCATATACAAATTTTAAAAATGTTTCCAAGGCATAGACTGTCGATGTCTTTGCCCTAAAACCGTACTGATGTGCCGATAATAAATTATTATTTTCTAAAAAAGTTATAATTCGTGTAAAAATAATCTTTTCAATAATTTTGGAGAAAATGGAAATCAACGATATGGGTGGATAGTTTTCAATATTCTTTTTATCGCCTTTTTTGTGTAAAAATATAATCTTTGATATATTTAAACTGTCAGGAAACTCACCGTTGTTAAAACAAGTATTTACTATATTACAAATTGGATAAGAAATTATGTAGCTTATTTTTTTTATAAGATTTGTAGAAAAACCGTCAGGTCCAGCAGCATTACTATTTTTTAAATTATTAATAATATTACAGGTTTCATTTTCAGTTATTTATTTTGCTATTTACATTAAGAGTGCAATTTTTTATACTGTTTACAAGGTTTTTTGGAACGTCGTTAAAATATTTGTTAAAAGCATTTGCAATGTTTACATTTTTTTCTTCTTCATAACCGTTTATAAACCTACTACATGATTCTGTTAAAACGTTCTTCTTTAAGTTTGTGTTTATAATTTTCCAAACAGTTTTACTTTTATTTTTAGAGTTCTCTATAAGTCTACTATAGTATAGTTTTTTTGATAGTCTTAATAATTTAGAATAAATTCTTTTATAAGTCTTATAATAATTTTCATCAACACGTCCAAACATTTGTTTTAACCGTAATGATGAAACTTTTAGACCGCGAGTAAACCATGGTGCGTTTATTCTGGTAGGATTGTGTTTGGTTGCTTTTGGAAAGCTTAGTTCAAAATAGTAAGTAATAATATTAAAAAATACCTCAAACTTGTTGTTAACAGTAAATTCTTTAAATACATCTGTTCAATTTTCAGAAAAGAGAAAACCATAAAATTTGTCAATGTTAGCATTACTAAAGAAACGTGATTTTAATTTAGTTTTATTTATTTTGTTAAGAAAATTGAATTGAATTTTTTGTACTGTATGATCAGACAGGTTTAGACCTAAAATTTCCGTGTTTGTTAATTCATCGTTAAAGTTGGTAAATATTTGAATTTCTTGTTATTCTAGTAGGTTCATTAAAAACAGATAATAAATAGATTATACGATTTTGTAAAATCCAGTAATTTATTGGATTCAGCAGATATAACCAATTTGTTTATGTTTAAGTTCCCGCATATTACAAATTTATGTATGTTATCACTGAATAAAACATCTAAACACATCTCAAATCTCTCAAAAAATTGTTTCATATTATAATTCGGTGCTCTATAAATACAAGCGAAAACATAGTTGATTTTTTTCAATGAAATTTTAATCGCTGCACATTCAAAATCTTTTTCGACACATAATTTGGAAATATCGATAACATGCTATATTATTTTTTGCTATTATAGCAACACTACCATGAATATAATTTGACCTGCAAAAACTACTAACAATATATAGCCCTCAAAATTTATATACCGTATTTCATTTTGCTTAATCCAAGTTTCACTTATAAACATTACATCAATATTTTCTTTCAAAAGAAATATCTCTATTTCTTCTATTTTATTTCTTAGGCACTGTACATTTAGGTGTATCATTGTAAAATTGAAGAGCTCGCCCTTATTTGAGACAAATTATAGTTAATTTTAGATTTTAATGTATTTCCAAGACTTAAGTATGAGGGACAATTATTATCGTTTGCACAATGATTTGAATTGCGATTTGTTTTACACTTTTCGTTAAAATGTATACAGTTTACACATTTTTTTATACTTTTATTGCAATTTGATGAATTATGATTACCAGCACATATACTTCAAGACAAATTTTCTTTTTCCAAATTACACTCCTTTGCTATATGACCAAACAAATTACATTTAAAGCATCTGACAATATTGAAGCTTTCTTCATTTTCTAAATCCTACAAACACATACCCAATTGACATTAGGTTTGTGAATGTTTTAGAATCAAGTTCTATTATAATATGCATTACATTAGAATTATTAGGTTTAATTAATTTAACGACACGAAAAGGTAGATTATCACTTTTTAAACGATTCTGTTCAATAATATTACTAACTAATTGTTCATTTGTTAAATCATTTAGTTCTACATTAAAAATCTTGATCCTTGGTTGTAGTTTTTCGGGAACTTTAAC